CCTCCCTCCCTCCCTCCCTCCTTGGTGCAATATCTCTCTCGCTCTCTCTTTCTCTTTCCATGGTGCTCTGAGGGCTTGCTTCTATGGCATTCGTGGGGACCAGAAGGCGAGAGGGGAGTGTCACTATTTCAGTCGCCACTACAACTGCAATCTGCTATGCGATCGTTGCCTAGCAATGAAGCCTGGGAAACCTGGAAAATGTGTGGACGGCATGAACTACAAAGATTTTTCTTCAAATGCTCCGTTTCTTCTCACGACTGTTGATCACACTTTGTACCTGAACACAACCCCTGCAAGCCGACTTTCGCCTTGGACGGCTATGCCAGGATGGAAGATTGAAAAAACTTTCTTTGATTGGATGCATGTCGTATTGTTGGGGGTTGGGAGAGAGATGTGGTTGCTGCTGCTATCAAGCTCCTGGTAATGCTGGGAGAAATCTCCCGCGGGGAAACCTTCCGTGCTGAATTGAAAGCCCTGACAAACTGGATCAAGAAGGAGCGGAAAAGCGAGACTGGGCCGCTTGGATAGCTTGAATAAGTTTTGTTTGTGGTAAGTTCCTGCTTTGGGCTTGTTCCGGTGTCGTGATTCTTGGATGGCCGAACAAAATCCATGCTAAGTTCCTGCCATATGGCAGTGGTTTGTTCCGGTGTGGTGATTCATGAACTTAAGTAAGTTTAAACTTCCACCTTGCATGAAGGGTTTCCTGTTCTTTGCCGTCTTTAACCCCCGCGAACACTGGCTTGGACCCCTGGAATGATTATCCGGAACTGGGCAGCATCTTCAAAGCAGCCCACGTGAAGGTTCTGCTTTGGGGCATGGGGAGAAAACTGAAGATTGTGGTGGCTCAGCGACAGGACCCCTGATTGTCTGCATGCAGGGCGAGCATCATGTCATCAGTTTCCTTTTTTTCCCCTTTTTACTGGCTCTCTCGCTCCTCCCTCTCCCTCCCTCTCCCTCCCTTTCCCTCCCTCTCCCTCCCTCTCCCTCCCTCTCCCTCTGCCTCCCTCTCCCTCTCC